TGGCCAAATTATCACACAAGTAATTGTTTGCATAAAAGAAAAGTTGTCAGTGATTGAGTAAAATAAACGATAAGTAAGTATTGAGCACTGATTATGAAAATAAGTGTGTGCATAATAGGTTTAGGGAAACTGGAAGGCCAATAAATGATGTGTTAGCGTGAACTCTGTTGTTCTCTGGGAACCATCATTTGGGCATATGCATTGAAAAATGCTTCTTCATTTTATAGCTATATGAAACTACCAGTAAGACCTTTGGCAACACCCGGAAACTTTGCTGGTTTTGAAGCCAGGGCATCGTTGTTGTGAGGATACTATTTACTTTTTTACGCCAAGAATACCAAAATTGCTTAGACGTCTGTATAAGATTCTCTTGTTGGGGAAGTAACTAAGATTCTTCTACACGCCGGATGCAATTATGCCTGGTCCTTCGGTCCTGAGCCGCATAGTTCCAGTGAATACCTGTAGTTGGTCCGGCATATTTGTGCCACTCTTCAAATTCGGCCAAGCAATCGTTTGCTTCCTCAACAACGAAATGATATTTTTAATATTTTTGCTAAAATTCTTGCATATTTTCGCTGTCGTTTTGTCAAAATTAAAGCATAGTTTAGGCGAAGCAGCACCAATTTTACAACAAGCAAGCGATATAACTGGTGGAACGTACTTTAATGTGCAGAATCCACGACAACTGTTGCAGTATACGACGGTAAGTATTGCTAATGTGACGTACGGCTTCCTGCGCTCTCCCTCTCTCACCCTTCTCAATGCTTAAATTCCTGTTTTAGCAAACTTTTCGACGAAAGAAGTATTCTTTGAGGCCTCGAAAACGAAACTTCGTTGATCTCTCAGCGTTGAGCCTTTCAAAAAATAAGAAATCGGGTTAAAACGATCAGTGAAGATTTTTTGTTAAATAACAGTATAGAAGACACTTGAAATCCCAGCCGAGATTTAAATTTGAGGCAAACGGGTAAAACAAAAAGGGCTTTGTAAATTTAGTGAAGTTTTTTATCTTTGTATGAAGTCTCATGAACTGTAGTCCTAAAATATTAGTTTTTCAGCTTTGGTATTTCTGGGTGCTAATTATTTGAGTACAGACATACACAAGCATACACACATACACGGACACACACACTCACATATACAGACACACACACAGACATACACAGGCACACATACACACATCTCCTTTTTTATATTTATGATTTTAGTGTTTCGCACTTTGCGGAGCATCGTTGCGTGCAGCTTTCCCATCAAATTCATCGATGTCTGTGGACTACCGGGCGAGTTGCTACTGTCACGGTACTCCAGTAAGCATTGGATGGGTCTGTTCGGTGTGTCTGTCTGTACAATGTCGCTTCACTCCAATTTGTCCAGCTTGCAAGTTAGTTCTTCTTCCTTCCTTGATAATGCTGAGAAATTAAACGATTTAAGTTAAACGATTTAAGAAATTAAACGATTTAAGAAATTAAACGATTTAAGTTAAAACGATGTCGCAACAACCACTGTAAGCTTTTTCTGAGAATAATCGTTTGGGAGGCAAATGAGCATCGATCGCGGTCGAAATGTTCTGTATTATGGTGGGGTTATTTGGTCCACTGAAATTCACACTGGCAGTCAAAACTAAATCTCACATATTTAACTTCCCATGAGAACTGAAGACATTTGGAAGTAACCCGATTGGTGTAGGTGCCAAAAAATGCTTACTGTCAAGGCTTTCAATGGATCCCTCCTCTGAAATTCGCTTAAAAACAAT